AAGCATGCTGCTCTCCTCCAATCAGGAGCAGGATCAGCTCCTGCAGCTTATGAAACTGATGAGGCAGCTGCGTAGAGGTTGTTTGGTCTCTTTCTCTCAGCGCCATATTGTGGGAGAGCAGATGCATAGAATAAGTCTTAATTCCAGTAACTTAGTCTAGTCTCAGTTGCTCCCCACAATATACTTGTGAATGTCTATGGATGTTATTCTCTTTAGCTTTCTGTATTCATTGGAAATTAGAAAAAAGGTAAAATACTGGTAAAATGTTTTTCCTCTGAAACCTCAAAGTTCTCTATAATTCTAGGTTGTCTTGAGTGTCAGACAAACCCAGTGGCTTCTCACGTAGGCTATGCTCATCACGTTCTCCACTGTACTTGTACCTCTGAGAACCTTTCTCAGGAACATTCTCCCCATTGCTCTATTCAGTACCCCAAGGTTTGAATTTTGGGAAGAACTCACCCTGCAGTAGAAAGAAATCTATGTGAATCCAGGGAGACACAGGAGCTTCGCTGTCAGTCCCTCTCATGTCAGACCCTTTCTGCTCCAGGAAGCTGAGAACAGGAAGAGCCACTTTAAAAAACTTTCACAGCCTTTTTGGAGTTATTAGCTACAGGTAGTAATAGTATTTGATAATTAGCAAAAGGGAAAATGTTCTCAGAAATCTCCTCAGTACCCTAACTTTACTTTCACTGCAGCTGCAGGTGGAAAGATAATTGCAGCTCTGCAGGGAGGTGAGGTCACAGGCAAACACCATTTCTAGTGCTCCAGCTGCCTCCAGCCCACCCAGTGTTGACTGTGTTGACCTTTTACACCCAGACTTGTCCAGGCAGCCAAGAGAAATTAAGGATTTTCTAGTCAGTAGAAAGAGGGAGGCTTCAGGCAAGAAGACATTCAAAAATCTGGGTAAGTGATCAGGTGAGAAAGGGGATTTTCCTGTTTTTGCACCTGGCCTAGTGCCCCAGCTTCCAGGAAATAGGAAGGATTCTGAGACATGTACTTAGCTATGACAGGGACATGGCTCCTACACCCTACTCCAGTCTCTGATGGCTCCCAAAGTAATTTGGTGTCATGCACAATGCTATTGATTCTTGGGGTTTAATGAAAATAATCATGCCACCTGGTGTTTAATGTACTTAAGGACTGTATGTCCAAAATAAGTCTCTGATCAGTCTTCTGTATAGTACTCATAGACTCCACTTTCAAAATTAGCAGAGAGGTTGCTGTGGAAACCAACATGCTTATAAATGTAGACAAGGACAAACCTCAGATTCTTATAATCCTGGGATGAATGAGTGGCTGCCAGTGGCAACTGCTGGAATAGAAAGTTTTTCTCCAACCCTGTTGTATGAATTGCTCAATGGAGGCAATTATTTCCTGTTGAAAATCCCCAAGGTTCCTTGATTATGGTAAGATTATGTTCTCTCTTTAAGTAAGAAAAGCCTATATAAGAAAAAAGTAGTGCTACCTTTTAGTAATGAGTTTCAGGTAGTAGCTTTCATGCACAAATCTATGTTCTGATGTTTATTCTGAGCAATTTATTTTCATCTCAACTTCTAGCTCCACATTGTCATATGAAAAAATAAATAAGATTCGACAATAGAGATTGTATGAGCTATACAAGGTTTACACTTCAATACTTTTCAAAAATATTAACTTGATTTCACCAGAGTGGTGTTAATGTCACTTCATACAGGGCTCAATATATTTTTAGTACCTGAGTGTCAGTACTTGAAGTAAGAAGTAAATAAGGAGGTAAGACGGCATATCAGGTCATTAAGGGGATTTTAGAATCTGCCTGCTAAATCATGGTTTCACTTCTGAGGACTCACAACCTTCCATATATACATTGATGTTCTTCTCTTTAGCTCCTGAGCCCACTGGAGATGAGAAAGAAGGGCAGGGTGCGAACTTGTAAAGAATGCTTTTGCATGGCCAACACCGCAGCTGACTAGGCTAATCCTCCACCTGCGGTGAAGGCACACCGGGTTCTACTCCTGGTTGGGGCACCGGATTCTGTCCTGGTTGCTCCTCTTCCAGTCCAGCTCTCTGCTTGTGGCCCAGGTCCTTGGGCCCTGCCCCCCACTCCCCCATGGGAGACCAGGAGGAGCCCCTGGCTCCTGGCTTTGGATCAGTGCAGTTTGCTGGCCATAGTGGCCATTTGGGGGGTGAGCCAATGGAAGGAAGACCTTTCTCTCTGTCTCTCTCTTTCACTATCTAACTCTGCGTGTCAAAAAAAAAAATAAGAAAAAGAATGCTTTTGCATACAATCCCCACATCCTCTGTATTTTCAAAGAAACTATCATGGAGCACCAGACAAATTCATTAGTGGCTATTAAGTGATTTATTTCCTCCAAGGGGCTGTACCAATTCTCAATAATTTTTCATAGATGCAATTCCTTCTAACTTTATTTCCTTTATTTCTATCACTTTTTATTAATATAAAGAGAACAATGGTTTCTTCCTCTTTTAAATATTTATTACTTATTTGAAAGGCAGAGATACAGAAACAGGGAGAGATCTCCCATCAACATGTTCACACCACAAATAACTTCACTGGCAGGGATGGGCCAGGCTGAAGACAGGAGCTTCTTATGGGGTCTCCCAATGGGATGGCTGAGGCCCAAGCACTTAGGCCATGTTCTGCTACTTTTCCCAGGTGGTTGGCAGAGAGCTGCATTCAAACTGGAGCAGTTGAGGACATAAGCAGGTGTTCATATAGAATGCTGGTACTGCAGGTGGTGGCTATTACCAGCTAGCCACAACACCATCCCAAAGAACAGTGGTTTCTAATGTAAGCTATGGTCCTCACATTCTCCATTGCACCTGTGTCTCTGAAAACCTTTCTCAGGAGCAGTCTCCCATTGCTCTGCTCATGACATAAATGAGGCTGAGCTTACTTGTCTGAAGTTTGGGAAAGAACTCACTCTGGGGTAGAAAGAAATCTGTGAATCCTGGATGACACAAAAGATTCACTGCCTGTCCCTCCACTGTCAGATTCAGGATCTCCTGCTCCCTACACATGAGACACTGTCTGCCCCAGAAGCTGAGAAAAGGAGGAGGCAGCATAGGAGTCTAACAGTCTCCTTTGAGATAATAACTACAGTGCTGTAAAAGTGCCTAGTAGTTAGCAAGAGTGAAAAAAGTTTCACGGTATTCTCATGACCCCAGTTTTACTTTTACTGCAGCTTCAGATGAAAAGATAATTGCAGTTCAGCAGAGAGATGAGGTCACAGACACTAATGCATTTCTAGTGCTCCAGCTGCCTCCACCCCACTCCATACAACTGTGGTGACTTTTGTGCCAATGCTTGTCCTGGACTCTGAAAGAAACTGGGGATTTTCCATGTCAGTGTGAAGGAGAGAAGCTGTAAGCAGGGAGGCATCTCTGGAGTCTGGGTGAGTGATGAGGTGAGAAAGGGAAGTCTTCTGTGCTTGCTCCTGGTCCTGTGCCCCAGCCTCACAGGAAGGAGGAAGCATTCTGAGATGTGAGCTGAGCTAGGAGAGAGATGGGGGTCCAACTCCCTACTCCAATCCTGGGGACCCCTAATGTAATTCAGTGTCAGCCTCAATGACGTGGGTTCGTGGTCTCAAAAAAATAACCCTGAAATCTGGTGCTAATGTATTTAAGGACTGAGGTTCCTGTAAATCTGCTGTTCCATCTACTGGACATGAATCATAGACTCCACTTTCAGAATTATTGGAAATGCACATCTATCTGTCACATGCTTATGATAAAGACTTGGAAATTCCTACAGGAATCTTATGATCCTGGAAGAAACTGTGGATTCCTGTGGTATTGCTTGAATAGCAAGGTTTTCTCTAACTCCGTTGTCTGAATCCTCACTGAAGTCAGTGACTGTTTCTTACTGAAAACATCATTTGTACTCTGCAGATGGTGATATATTTGCTGTTTTTACATGAGGGAAGACTTTAAGCCACTGAGGCATGTCCTGTAGAGAAGGACGTCACCTGGCAGCTGCCACGTATGAATGTGGCTTCCAGCATTTGTTCTGAGCTGGGAATATTTTCATGTCAATTACAAGCTCCAAAGTTTGGACACCCTAGATATTCCATGTGAGTTTACACACTCTAGTACTCAGTAACCTTTAAACATCTTTATTATGGAAAATTTAATCATTAATTCACTATGAGTCACAAAAGAAGCACAGATAGTAAAGTGGTCATATTTAGTTTCCACCATACATGACTTCATCACAGACGGTGTCTCCTGTCCCATAGTCTACAGCAGAACATATGATCAGCACTTGGGTATCAGGTTGTAGTGCTACAAAAGCCAAATACTGTTCACATTGCCTTCCTAAAATAGTACTGGTTTGACTTAGTAAAATACAAATTTTCAAGGAGTGCATCAGAAAAAATAACATAATCCATTGATTTACATCTTCAAAATATACACAAATGTGTAATCAATATTTACATTGCTTTGTGCTCTAAATCCTTATGTATAGTTAAATTGGCACAAAAAAGTGAACAATTAGCACGAGTCTGCAATAAGTTGGCAGCATAATAAATATGTAAGAATATGTGTTATTTGAATACACAGCTAACTAGTTTTCTAAGAATAGCAAGATGGTTAACCTACTCTCTCATAAGACCATCGAAGTTCAATTCAACACATTACATTATACATTAAGAAGTTTAAATTTAGGCAAATGGCTGGCCTATAGCCACCTAAGGGATAATTTTATTTCAAATGAAAGGAATATTGCTGCCTTTCATTGAGTTAGGAATACAAGAATTACTCTCAAGACACCACATATTTGTAAGTATATTTTGTAAGTAGCCTTAGTTACATATTCGACTCTTTTAAAACATGATATAAATAAACATATTAAGCAGCTATGGCTAAGTGTCAATGAATTAAGTGGGGAATATTGTGAATGGAGACTGTTGTATTTGGTTGACATTAATATATGTACCTCATGCCTCATGTCCCTTACAGGACTCAGAGACAATAATCAGACATTGGGAGATGATGGGATGGCCACCAGAGATTTGACAATGGGGATGATCTTCTTATCACAAACTCTTACAGGAATCCTGGGGAATTTCTCTCTTCTTTCCCATTATCTCTATCTCTACCTCACAGGATGCAAGTTTAGGTCCACAGATTTGGTCATCAAACACCTGAGTGTAGCCAACTGCTTAGTCATTCTCTCTAGAGGAGTTCCCCAAACCATGGCAGCTTTGGGGATGAAGCATTTCCTCAGGGACCTTGGGTGCAAACTTGTGTTCTATGTTCATAGGGTGGGCAGGGATGTGTCTATTTGCAGCACCTGCCTCTTGAGTATCTCCCAGGCCATCACCATCAGTCCCAGGAACACCAGATGGGCAGAGCTCAAAGCAAAAGCTCCCAAGTACATTGGCTTCTCTGTTGCACTTTTCTGGATGGTGAACCTGATACTAAATGTCATGGTACCTGTGCATGTGACTGAGAATGGGAGTGACAAAAATACAACAAGGGAAGTTGATTATGGCTACTGCTATTCAGTCATTAGTGACAGATTCACAGTGTATGGAGCAGTGTATGTAGCACTGGTGTTATTAAGAGATATTTTCTTTGTGGTGCTCTTGATGTGGGCCAGCAGCTCCATGGTTGTCACCCTGTACAGACACAAGCAGCAGGTCCAATACATCCATGGGACCAACATACCCTCCAGATCCTCCCCAGAGTCTAGAGCCACCCACAGCATCCTCATCCTGGTGAGCACCTTTGTGTCTTGAGCACTCTCTCCTCCCTCTTTCACATTTGCTTGATTGTTTTAAACAATCCCAGTATGTGGCTGGTGAACACCTCTGCACTAATCGCTGGTAGTTTCCCAACCGTGAGCCCCTACATTCTCATGAGCCATGACTCCAGGGTGCTTAGGCTCATTTTTACCTTCTCGAGGTATACAGAATCCCCTGCTTAGAATGAATGTGTAAATTGTGTACTCACAATGGTTGGTTCTCTGATGCTTTTTAAAATTTATTCATTTATTTACTTGAGAGACAGACACAGAGCTCTCTATATTGTATTTCACTCCCCAAACATCTATCTTGAGTTTGGATCAAAGTCAGAGCCAAGATCTGAATTACTTGTGCCATCAACACCACTTCCCAGTGTCTGCCTTAGCAGATAGCTGAGTTCTGGTCAAAGCTGGTCTCAAATCCAGATACTGCGATATTAGATATGTTCTTGTATGGAAACTTAACTGCTAGGCCAAATGCCTGGCAAACACAATGTGAGTTCTTTATTCTTGAAGCCCTCTGAATGTTTAAGCATGTTTCTTAAGACAGTACAAGGAACAGTTTGGTAAACAAAACAGACTGAATTTCTGCTCTAAATAAAGAATGAATGTATTAGTAATTATAAATGAATCGCTATGTAATTATCATGTGGATTCCCATATTGTGTTATTAGTGTTCCTGCCTCATCAAGAAATGTAGAAATGGGTAAGAAGTTATAGGAGTCACCTGAATCTGACATACTGAATTTTTCAGAAGTGAACAGTTATGGGAATGTGACAAAAGATCCATAAATCAGGGGCAACATTTCATGTGGGCATCAGGATACAGAAAAATGAAGAAATTCTCCATGGAACAATGAATAATATGGACGTTAGTGGAGAGAAAGTGAAGTTTCCCAGAGTGGAAGCCTTGAGGATCCTGCAGTTCTGTGCATGTAGGGGATGAGTCTTCTGAACTCAGATGTTATGAAGGAGATTGGTTACTTCAATCATTTTCATGTACAAATGGCCCGTATGATCTGGAGTGGGGCACGGGGTAGCATGAAGCATGTTCTGCTGTTTATGAATGACGCTGAGGGACAGAGCACACTGTCCAAACATCCCAGCATGGAGGTGAGATCTGCTGGGGGAGCTTCTGTATCTTTCAGTGAAGAGGCCAGTTGGGTGTGTGGGCAAGAAACAGCTTCCATGTGCACTCCCCTGACTCCCAGGTGAGGAAATAAGTTTATGGTGGGACCTTCCTTTAGCCTTGAACTCAGGACCAAATAGGCACTGGGAGCCAGTCTCCTTCCTGCCCCCACCTGGTGCTTAATTCCAAGTGCACTGACAAATATTTTTGTGTTTCTAAGTGTCTTTGTATGTACACATGTAGATATATGAAGTCAAATTACCTCTGCATGCTGTAAATCGTTAATACTGGAAAGGCACAAAGTCAGATTTACAAAGCAGTGCCAGTAAGAATAACACCAGCTGTGTTCACCCCACTGCCTACTTACTCTGATGTACATGTCCCCATGTGTAGGACATTATAGGAGACAAATCCTGACTGTAATGTCAATGACAGCTAAAGGTCCCCTGGAGGCCTGGCAGGGCCGACATTCCCTGTCCCTCAGCTGTAGGGAACAACCCAGCCTGGGGATTTCCAGTCCTGGCCCAGGGAATCCCAGCAGACAAGACAACCACAGCACACATGCAGCTCTCACTCACCTAAAGCAAAGCTTCCCCTACAAGCTCAGCTCCAACTTCCTTTAGGAGAGAAACTCCTAGTGCCTGACCTAGGCTGAATACAGGCATAAGGAAGGGGGCTTATTCACACAGACTCTGAGAGAGGTCTTTGGCCAATGGTCATCCAGCCCCTGTATCTGGACCAGCCCACTAGCCTGCTTCCAGTATCTGGTTTGTGGGATCCCTGGTAGAATAAATAATTTTCTTACTTTTTAATTTTATTTTAGTTTAGTTCTTTTTTTAAACAGTCTACATATTAGTTATTTTCATAAGATGTTGCCTAATCAGCAGATGAATGTTCATGGAATGTTTTTGCTCTTTTCATCCACATATTTTAACTATGATAAGGGTACCTCAAAAACATTCTTAGGAAAATGAAATTAAGTGATAAGTTTATTTGGTGCAAAACATGTTTGAAAGTCAAGGATGGTGGTTGTTACATGCATTTTCCACAAAGCTTTTGAAAACCCCTATCTGCATGGGTATTTCAGTTTTTACTTTGACAGTTCTATCTTCAGAATCTACCTGTTTGTAACCTGGAAAACACTTGATACTTCTCAGAGTTAGTCACAGTGTAGTTCCTAATACATTTAACTCCCCCTGGACAATGTGATGGCACTCCAGCAGTAATCTATCAACAACCTGCAAACTTTAAAAATCTATGGTAATCATTTTCATGTCACACACACACAGGTCTGGAATTAACATCTCATTGAAATTCCACAGCTGCACACTTCTCTGGATCAAGAACTAGAAGGTGGCTGCCCTCCCTCACCCCAGGCACCACATTTCACCCCTTAGCACCTCCCACATCCCCTGAGGATCACGATGGCAGACTGCCTCCAGCCATTGTGTTATGATTGAAACAACACAGCAATTACCTGTGTAGGCTTTTCTCATTTCTTACATTGCTCATGACTTTAACTGTTCTGTCACATTTGTCCAGATACTCATCAACTTCTCTGCAGAAGGGCCCACCAGGTGAACATGCAACAACTGATTCAGGCACAACACTGCTTGAGTCATTTTCAGGTTGGACTCCCAGGAACAGTGCCAGAAGTAAATTCAGAATTCATATTTTGGCAGAGGTGTGTGTAGGTTTGTTGTGTGTATAAATGGTGGGGAGATCATTGGGCCATAGATTTACCTTGGTTTATCTTTTTTTTTCTTCACAATAAATTTGATTGCACAGAATTTAGAGGAAATTTATCTCATAAACTTTAAAATGTCAAATATTTACATTTTATCAATGAACCTATGGTCTTTCTCTGAAATCCTGTAATTGCGCATTTTAACATAGTCACAAACACAGAGTGTACATATAGTTTTGAGTTGTTGCTTTCTTTTTTTAACTTTTATTTAATAAATATCAATTTCCAAAGGACAGCTTTTGGATTAAAGTGCCCCACCCATAACTTCCCTCCCACCCGCAACTCTCCCACCTCCCACTCCCTCTCCCATTCCATTTACATCAAGATTCATTTTCAATTATCTTTATATACAGAAGATCAATTTAGTATATATTAAGTAAAGATGTCAACAGTTGACACTCACACAGAAACACAATGTATAAAATACTGTTTGAGTACTAGTTATAGCATTAATTTACATTGTACAACACATTAAAACAGAGATCCTACATGGGGAGTAAGTGCACAGTGACTCCTGTTGTTTACTTAACAATTGACACTCTTATTTATGGCGTTAGTAATCACCCTAGGCTGTTGTCATGGGTTGCCAAGGCTATGGAAGCCTTTTGAGTTCAGCAACTCAGATCTCATTTGGATAAGGTCCTAGTCAAAATGGAAGTTCTCTTCTCCCTACAGAGAAAGACACCTCCTTCTTTGATGACCTTTTTTTTTCTGACAGGCAGAGTTAGACAGTGAGAGAGAGAGAGAGAGAGAGAGAGAGAGAGAAAAGTCTTCCTTTTTCCATTGGTTCACCCCTGAAGTGGCCACTATAGCCAGTGCGCTGTGGCTGGTTTGCTGTACTGATCCAAAGCCAGGAGCCAGGTGCCTCCTCATAGTCTCCCATGTGGGTGCAGGGCCCAAGGACCTGGGCCATCCTCTACTGCACTCTCAGGATGCCAGGATGGCCCATTCTTTTCACTGGGATCTCACTCACAGAGATTTTTTTTTTTTTTTTTTTTGCCAGAGTGTCTTGGCTTTCCATGCCTAAAATACTCTCACGGGCCCTTCAGGTAGATCTGAATGTCTTAAGGGCTGATTCTGAGGCCAGAATTCTGTTAAGGGCATCTGCAATTCTATGAGTCTGCTGTGTATCCTGCTTCCTATGTTGGATCATTCTCTCCTTTTTTATTCTATCAGTTATTATTAGCAGACACTAGTCTTGTTTATGTGATCATTTTGACTCTTAATGCTTTCATTATGATCAACTTTGAAATGAAACTGATCACTTTGACTAGTGAGATGGCATTGGTACATAAAGGATCCTGTGAAATACTTCCAAAAGCTTTTCTTCCTTTTTATTCTTTTACCAAAATTCTCATTCTGTTGCAGTATTTACTATATTTTTTATATTTTGGGGATAAGTTTTGATATATATTTGATGCAAAGGCTTAATGGCTTTACTAACAAGTTCCACAAGTAACCTGCAAGCGATCTGTGTAAACCCCTAGTTTACCTAGAATCTGCCAACACTTACAAGTTTCAATCATTTTATTTTTAGCTCTTGTTGGTGTACGATACTTTCAAGTAATGGTTTTATTTGAACTTTTTTTATTACTAAGGAAGTTTATTACCTATTAACACATTGAATGAATTCAGATATGCTTGGTTGGAGGCCTTGTTTGGTTTATTTTGTCCAATTTTTCTATTGTATTGTCCTTATTGTCTCTATTGGTTGCTTGGTGCATTGGAGAATTACACACACTTCTTACTTGACCCAAATCTCTCCTCTTTCTCACTCTCTCTCTCTCCCTCTCTCTCTGTGTTTTCTTCTCTCTATTGCTGTGTCTTTCAAACACATAAATAAAATCTTAAAAAAAAAACAAGGTCTTGTGTTCAGAAAGTTAATGGCTCTTTTTGTTATGATGATTAATTTTCTTGTGTTTGTACAGCAGAGATCTACCTTGTGGAGGGTCATTTCCTGCATAAGTCACTGCTATTACCTCCAACATTTATTATCTTCTGTTCCAAATATCTTTTCAAGGATTTTCACATAACAAATCACCTCCAAATATGTCAGTAGTTTAATAACTGGGCATAAAGTCAGACTGTACACAAGACCAAAATTACAAAGATAACACACCCCACTTCAAGGCCCAATACATTTCTAACAGTTTTGATAAAGAAAGGATACTGAGAGAGACATGATGTTCTGCAAATGAGAAGTACAAGGACCCTTTTTGGGATGGGTTGGGGAATGAGAATACTTTATGGTACATGGAGGAAATTTGTTTACCATATGGGGGACAAGGAGGAATAATACCCTCCACTCTCTTTGGGGAGCAACTCAGACTAGACTGTTACTGGAATTAAGACTTATTCTATGCATCTGCTCTCCCACAATATGGCGCTGGGAGAGGAGCAAACAGCTTCTACACAGCTGCCTCCAGTTCAACCAATAAACTGTAGGACCTGCTCCTGATTGCAGGAGAGCAGCGTACTCGGCGTGTGGGTAGCAGAGTTGGGATTGGTGAAAGAGGACTATAAAGGAGAAGAGAGACAACATGCACGAGGAACATCTATCTGAAGGAACACCTGAGCAGCCCCTGAGAGAGCCGGCCGGCGGTGTGCCGCTCCCCTGCAGAAGTGGGGAAAGTGGCAGGGGGAACCGCCCTTCCACGGAGGTGGAAGGGACAGTAGCCAACCCGGGAAGAACCAGCAGCAAACCCGGGGACGGCTGAGCAGACAAAAGAACAGCGCAGGGTCCTGTGTCGTTCCTCCACGAAGAGGGGGAGCGACAACTCTCCTGTTCATAAGGTTTGAGAAATAAGATTGAAATATGCAACCTGAAAATGCTTAGAATGTTCACAAGCTGAGACCTTCAGAGATCTGAAAATGTGGCACCATTCTTTGTGTTGAAAGCTGGCAGCAAGCTGCTGGACACTAATAGGATGGGCCTGGCTTGTGCCATCCTTTCTAGCACAGAATTGTTCTCACACACTGTGTTCCCTGGTCACTTCCTCTCTTCTCATACTTTGGCAGCATTAAAGACCAAACTGCAGATTCATGGGAGTTTTTGGAAGGAGAAACACTGACTTTAGTAGCTCTATTGGACACAAGTGACCCTTTCACCTTCCTATCTTCTGTGGTTCAGTGGAAGAGGAGGTGATAGGTGAAAAACAGACTGAAAGTTCCCAGGTCTATGGGGCTTCCCATGGGTGCCTGCATGGGCAGCAAGAATGTGAAGCTTAGGACCTGGCTCTCCCCACATTCTAGACAGTGCAAGAAAAAAAAGGCACACACTTAGGGGGGAAGAGATGAATGATAAAACCTCCTCACAGTCCTTGACAGGCCCCTGCTCACTCCATCTGCAAACCTGAATTCTCCACACCCATGTCTTGGGTACAGTGTAATCAGTACTTGAGATGTGCTAGCCTTTGACACAAAACACAAGTTCTGCCTTGCTTTCTCTATTATACTGGGAGGATTCTTGCTCTTACAAAAGCTAAGGGAGAATCCTTTCAATATGTTACAGCCATTCAACTGGATTGATAAAGTCAGATTATTCCATGAAACTACTATCATTAGACATCTAGGCTGATTAAGTTATGATTTTTCTGAGTGAAGTAAATGTGCTATCTGATTGGAAAGACAAGCTCTTCACATTAAAGGATCCACTTCAAAGCCTTGTTATTTTGGTCCAGATAACTATATGTGGTTTCTCATAATGCATCTGTAGATGTCTGAAACACTCAGAGAGGAACGTTTTGTAGTCAAAGGGAGTTTACAACTCTTCTTTTTCAGAACATTCAGGCTGTTCACGTACATTGAACAATATCATTTAGAAGTGTGCTTTCCAATTTATGAAAAACCCACGGCCAACATCATATTTAATGGGGAAAAGTTGGAAGCATTTCCACTGAGATCTGGTACCAGACAGGGATGCCCACTCTCACCACTGTTATTCAATATAGTTCTGGAAGTTTTATCCAGAGCTATTAGGCAAGAAAAAGAAATTAAAGGGATACAAATTGGGAAGGAAAAACTCAAATTATCCCTCTTTGCAGATGATATGATTATTTATTTGGGGGACCCAAAGAACTCTACTAAGAGATTATTGGAACTCATAGAAGAGTTGGGCAAAGTAGCAGGATATAAAATCAATGCACAAAAATCAACAGCCTTTGTATACACAGGCAATGCCACAGCTGAGAAAGAACTTCCAAGATCAATCCCATTCACAATAGCTACAAAAACAATCAAATACCTTGGAATAAACTTAACCAAGGACGTTAAAGATCTCTACGATGAAAATTACAAAACCTTAAAGAAAGAAATAGAAGAGGACACCAAAAAATGGAAAAATCTTCCATGCTCATGATTGGAAGAATCAATATCATCAAAATGTCCATTCTCCCAAAAGCAATTCATGGATTCAATGCCATACCAACCAAAATACCAAAGACATTATTTTCAGATTTGGAAAAAAATGATGTTGAAATTCATATGGAGACACAGGAGACCTCGAATAGCTAAACAATCTTGTACAACAAAAACAAAGCTGGAGGCATCACAATACCAGATTTCAGGGCATACTACAGGGCAGTTGTTATCAAAACATCATGGTAGTGGTACAGAAACAGATGGATAGACCAATGGAACAGAATTGAAACACCAGAAATCAACCCAAACATCTACAGCCAACTTACATTTGATCAAGGATCCAAAACCAATCCCTGGAGTAAGGACAGTCTATTCAATAAATGGTGCTGGGAAAACTGGGTTTCCATGTGCAGAATCATGAAGCAAGACCCCTACCTTTTACCTTACAGAAAAATTCACTCAACATGGATTAAAGACTTAAATCTACGACCTGACACCATCAAATTATTAGAGAGCATTGGAAAAACCCTGCAAGATATAGGTACTGGCAAAAACTTCTTGGAAAATACCCCAGAAGCACAGGCAGTCAAAGCCAAAATTAACATTTGGGATTGCATCAAATTGAGAAGTTTCTGTACTTCAAAAGAAGCAGTCAGGAAAGTGAAGAGGCTACCGAGAGAATGGGAAAAATATTTGCATACTATGCAACAGATAAAGGGTTGATAACCAGAATCTACAAAGAAATCAAGAAACTCCACAACATCAAAACAAACAACCCACTTAAGAGATGGGTCAAGGACCTAAATAGACATTTTTCAAAAGAGGAAATCCAAATCGCCAACAGGGACATGAAAAACTGTTCAAGGTCACTAGCAATCAGGGAAATGCAAATCAAAACCACACTGAGGTTTCACCTCACCCCGGTTAGAATGGCTCAAATACACAAATCTACCAACAACAGATGCTGGCAAGGATGTGGGGAAAAAGGGACACTAACCCACTGTTGGTGGGAATGCAAACTGGTTAAGCCACTATGGAAGTCAGTCTGGAGATTCCTCAGAAGCCTGAATATAACCCTACCATACAACCCAGCCATCCCACTCCTTGGAATTTACCCAAAGGAAATTAAATTGGCCAACAAAATAGCTCTCTGCACATTAATGTTTATTGCAGCTCAATTCACAGTAGGTAAGACCTGGAACCAACTCAACTGCCCATCAATTGTTGACTGGATAAAAAAATTATGGGACATGTACTCTATACAATACTATACAACAGTCAAAAACAGCGAAACCCGGTCATTTGCAACAAGATGGAGGAATCTGGAAAACATCATGCTGAGTTAACTAAGCCAGTCCCAAAGTGATAAATATCATATGTTCTCCCTGATTAGCGACAACTAACCGAGCACCAAAGGGGAAACCTGTTGAAGTGAAATGGACACTATGAGAAACATGACTTGATCAGCTCTTGTCCTGACAGTTGATGTACAATGTAATACTCTTTGCATTTTAGTTTTTTTTTTGTTCTAGCACTATTGGTTGAACTCTGTAATTAACACACAATTATTCTTAGGTGTTTAAATTTTAACTGAAAAGTGATCCCTGTTAGGAATTTGGAAAACATTATGCTGGGTGAAATAAGCCAGTGCCAAAGGGACAAATATCATATGCTCTCCCTGATCAGTGACAACTAACTGAGCACCAAAAAGGAAACCTGTTGAAGTGAAATGAACACTGTGAGAAATGGTGACTTGATCAGCCCTTGCCCTGACTGTTGATGAACAACTTAATACGGTATCCCTCTTAGTATTTTTTGTTTGTTTGTTCTACTTAATACTTCTGGTTGAATACTGTAATCAATACACAGTTATTCTTAAGTGTTGAAACTTAACTGAAAAGTGATCCCTGTTAAATATAAGAGTGGGAATAAGAGAGGGAAGAGATGTGCAATTTGGGACATGCTCAGTCGGACTTGCCCCAAGTAGTAGAGTTAGAAACATACCAGGGGATTCCAATTCAATCCCATCAAGGTGGCATGTACCAATGCCATCTCACTAGTCCAAGTGATCAATTTCTGCTCACAATTGATCATAATGATAGGATTCAGAGCCAAACAGAGCACATAAACAAGACTAGTGTCTGCAAATACTAACCGATAGAATAAAAAAGGGAGAGAATGATCCAACATGGGAAGCAAGATACACAGCAGACTCATAGAATGGCAGATGTCCTAAACAGCACTCTGGCCTCAGAATCAGCCCTAAAGGCATGTGAATCTGGCTAAAAAGCCCATGAGAGTATTTCAGGCATGGAAAGCCAAGACACTCTGGGGAAAAAAAAATAAAAGACCTAAATGAAAGATCTCTGTGAGTGAGATCCCAGTGGAAAGAACAGGTAATCAGAGAAGGAGGTACCTTTCTCTGAATGGAGGAGAGAACTTCCACTCTGACTACAACCTTGCCTAAATATGATCAGAGTCGGTGAACTCAAAAGGCTTCCATAGCCTTGGCAACTCATGACAAGAGTGTAGGGTGATTACTGATGCCATAAGCAAGAGTGTCAATTTGTTTAGTCAACAACAGGAGTCACTGTGCACTTACTCCCCATGTAGGATCTCTGTCCTTAATGTGCTGTACATTGACATTTAATGCTATAACTAGTACTCAAACAGTATTTTTCACTTTGTGTTAGTATGTGGGTGCAAACTGTTGAAATCTTTACTTAATATATGCTAAACTGACCTTCTGTATATAAGGAGAATTGAAAATGATTCTTGATGTGAATGGAAGGGGGGAGGGAGAGGGAAAGGGGAGGGTTGCGGGTGGGAGGGAAGTTATGGGGGGGAAGCCATTGTAATCCATAAGCTGTACTTTGGAAATTCATATTCATTAAATAAAAGTAAAAAAAAGGAAGTGTGCTTTCTTCAACCTTACGAACATAAATGCTGTTGTGCATCCAATAGGCCCTAAAAACAGCCCTTATGTCCCTCCTCTCAACCTCTCAGGACATGATCCAGGCCCGGAGTGAGTCACAGACAAGCATCCTTCCTGGCTTTCCCTTGCCTTTCCAGTGATGGTCAAGAATCAGGCTGTAGTCATGAAAACATGGGCTAGACTGACCCACCCCATCAGTGCATGCACAGCAGGCCATGTACTACCTTAGTGGAACACAACCTGGATCCAGTCCCCAGAAATGGGTCAGGAAATCACCATGCTGAACACTGGAATTTCTGTTCCACATTAGGTTCTCCTGGGCCACTTTCTTAATGTTCCACCCTAGCTCCAGCCTCAGAGTTGACTGACCCTCTGCAAAAACAGAAACCACCTGAACCAGCATAAAGCAAAGCCAGGATGGAGACCCAGTTAGCTAAAAATAGCTGCCCAAAAATGTGGGGAACCCATAAACATATCTGGGGTCCCTCAATGAGAAATTTCCACGTGGCCAGGCCAGGCTGGGATTTATCCACCTTGACGCTGCAGCCTCCAGCCCACTTCCATGTGCTTCAAGCTAAAGAATGGCAGCCCCACCACTCACATACCCATCAATCTCACAGCACTGCTTGTGCCCACTGAAGACTGTCCATCCCTTCCTCTTGGGAAGGCTGCACTATTGTCTGGACTTCTGTAGGATGAGAGTTGGCTACAGAAGTCAGCTGTTTCAGAACAAAGCTATATTTCATAAGCAACACAATTCCTTTCATGAAAGTGAGTAATTTTTATTGAAAATTTCATTCATGAAATTTTAAGTCCTTTCTTTCCCTTTATTTATTACTGTGTCTGGGTGTCAAGAAATAGTGATTCCCCAGGAGCTGGAGGAGCAGGCACCCTGATCTCTGTCTTCCTCTGAGCTCCTCTGAGAAAGGAAGATGGAGCTGGGGATAGAGACTTTGGGGAGGAAATGACTAACTGATCACATTAGTGAGCACCTGTACTGATCACACTTGGCACCAAGACTCACAATAGAGGGAACAGCTGCAGTGAAGACTCAAGATAAAACTGGACTCTGGAGATAAGGATGTAGGGCCAGCAGCACAAGGCAGGTCTCTGAGGACATTCTGCAAGGGCCCATGAGGGAGCTGGGCTCTTTGGGTACCAAGTGTACTGCCAGCTTGCACAATGGTCCTTGATGCCCAGTCCTAGGGCCTTGGTGATGCCCAGAGGGCAGCTGGGAAGAGGGGGCTCTGGGTGCAAGTCACTACATGTGCTTCTGCAATGAATTGGGAGAGAAGGGAGAGGAAGAAAGGGAGGAGGGACGACCAAGGGTGCAAGGCAGCGATGACTGCGTTTGGTTGAACCATAGATTCTGCTCCTGTTACTACCATCTCTACCACCCTCCCTGCCTATCTCACAGCCTGTTCCCATTTTGTCTCCCTGTGCTTGTGATCCCTGCTCATCATCTGGGTTCCATGCCTCCTCCACCCTCTACCTCTGCCTTGGGCCCCAGGTCGCCCCTAGAACCCACATGTGGCACCTGTCAGCCTCTCTGTCATTATCCTTTTGCCTCTCATAGACATTAAGTCTCATGTGCTGTTTACCTACTCTGCTCTTAACCATGTTATACACTGGGAGCCATCCCTTTGAACAGTCTCATTCCCATGACCCCATGCACACCTCATTGAATCGCACACACCATTTCCTGTGCAGTCACCTTGCACACCTGACACCTTGGAGCATCAACCCCACACTTTGACTTCTCTGTGTATTCAACACTCTCATTCCTTGGACCCTCTTTCCCATTTCTCCCTCTGCATTACATCGTGTCACACCCCCCCCCCAAATCTCTTCCTGTGCACCACTGGCCCCTCCCTGGGCCCTCACATCACCCTGCTCTGTTACAAACACACTGTCATGCTCCTGCATTTCCACAGGCAGTGAGGTTGAGCTGTGGGCAAAAGTCCGATGCTTTCCAAGAGAAATTCCATCTTCTTATTTTGCTTGTTTCCCATTGAATATCCTTCTCAGAGGATGTGCTGTTATAATTGTCTGCTAACTTAAATGTTTCATCAGCTCAGTGGCCTGAAGATTTTGGGGAAAAGCACACTTTGGAATAGGAAAACTTCTCAGGCATCACAAAATCCAGTAAGACATGAGCATGAGGCAGCCCCTCTTGTCGCAGACCCCAGCAGGAGCTACTGCCTCCCTGTGTGTCTGGTCTGTCTCCAGGCACCAGGAAAATGAAGGAGACTCTCAGACACTGCCACAGTCCCTTGGCAGATGGCAACTACAAACCTCTAATTGGTTTTTGGCCACAAGGAACTGGGGAACATTTTTCACAAATATCCTCACTGCCCCAGGCCTGTCCTCTGCTTGTAGGGACAGGTGATAAGATAATGGCTGCTCTGAGGGGAGGTGACACCACACATCATGTCACACCATTTCCCAAGGTCTCCATCCCACCAACACAAGCACTGGTGCTGTGAACATCACCCTGAGCCCTCGCTCTCCTTATCAGAGGAAACAGGTGTTTGCCATTGCAGCCTGAGACAGAGAGTCTGAAGCCAACTTTTGCAAGTCTGCAGCCAGGTAAGAGCTCCTTTTAGAAGGGGGTTTGCATTTGGAACCCAGCCTGCTGGCATGGCCCCCCAGGAAGCAGATCTGTTTCTGTAGCCTGAGCAGAGCTTGTAGAGAGATGTGAGCCTAACCTGACAGCAGCCTCCAAAAGCAGTTGTACCATTTACTATAAACCAAAGGACCCTTGTTGTGTTGCCCATTTTCATGTTTAAATCTTAATTTTTACATGTTTCACACTGAAAACTTAAATAAATTTTGTTCTATGGTTAAAATAAGGTCATAAGGAAACAGCCTTGCTCATGTAAAAGCACATTTCTGACATTGGTTCATAAACTTTTTTTCAAGTTAATGTTTTCTTTAGTTTTTGAGATAACATTTTTAACTTACATTATGGTTCAAAGCATAATGCTGTACCACACAGAGTTCAGCAAATGAAAAATGTAAAGACCACAGTCCAGCAGGAAAGTAGGGAGGGGCCGTGCCCAGTCATCCAGTGAGAAGATGGCCCTAACTATTCATGAAACCCATTGCTGCTAAGATACAGGAGATGTTTAGGCTTTCTTTCTATTTAACAATGCCATTTACCATCAATGAAATGGAGTAACATATGCTTTTGAGGAAATTTATATTTTTAAATAAAATTGGTTGTAAGAATAACATTAGGTTTGACTACAAAAACAGGCTATCCAAATTATCCTGATGGGTGGGATTAAATTAAATTAATATAAGAAGTTTATTTTTAATAGGTTTAAGGATTTCAGTTCCACATTAAATTGTTGTTCAGTCTACCCTATCATATTTACACTGTGTTTTCAGGATACCTGAATATGCACTATCTTTTCTTTAAAGATTTATTTATTTATTTGAGTAAGTGGCACCAAGAGAGAGTGAGAGATAGAGAGTTAAGGAGAACTTCTAGTCATTGGTTCACTCTCCAAATGACCACAACAACTGGGCCAGGCCAATGCTAGGAGCCTGGAACTCCTACCAGGTCTCCCATGTGGGTGGCAGAAGCCCAAGCATTTGGGCCATTTTCCTCTGCTTTCTCAGGCACAGTAGCAAGGAGCTGAACCAGAGTTGGAGCAGCCAGGACTTGAACTGGTGCTCAGAGAGGAACCTGGCATCGTAGGAGGTGGTTAACCTGCTGCACCTTGAAACCAACCCATCAAAAGTGCACTCAGAGCACCAAGCTGGCAGCAGAGATGTGAACCCCCAGGAACCACCTGGTGCTGTGCAGACCTGGAGTGTTCGGAAGGCACCTGCTGGGAGGAGATGCACCCTGTGATGCCGGGTGCTAGAATTATTTAAAGAGACAGTGGTTGTTTCCTTATGAGAACATCCATGGTCTCCTGATACTGGAGAGAGTGTTTCCCATTTTCATCTTATGCAGTGGGCACATGAGGAAGTGGTAACACTACACACGGGATTGCAGATAGCAGCTCTCAGGCACAAAATTTCCTCTCCTAAAGTCTCTGATCTTAATATATTTCACTCAATTTCCAAATTTACAATTTCAACTTATAAAATATGCAAATTTTAACATCTTACATATTCTCTTTACTATCTTACATATTCTCTTTACTGGATAGCTTATAATTTAGTATGTTTTTGAAATCTCCCCTGAGTTCTACTGATTTTACATGTGACAAGTATTAATCCATGTAAGTACACGATCTGAAAATAGTAACATTTAGCTTGTACTCTACACTCTTTCATCATATACTGGCATTTCATATCACATAGTTTAGGGTGAAGCAAAGTGTTCTGTGATTCCTGTGAGAGGTGAAAATTCTATTTGGACATAAAAAAAATCCTTGTCACTGGCACTGTGGCATGGTGGGTTAAGCTGCCTTCTGCTGCACCAAAATCCCATATGGGTCCTGGCTGGATTCATGTTTGCTCCACTTCCAATCCAGCTCCCAGCTAATGTACCTGGGAAAGCAGCAGAGGATGGCACAAATGCTTGGGCCTCTGCAGCCATGTGGGAGACCTAGAAGAAACTCCTGGCTCCTGGCTTTGCCCTGGCCTAGCTTCAGCTGTTAAACCATGCAGAGGGTAAACCAGTGGATGGAATCTTCCTCTCTCACTTTTTTTTTCTCTCTCTCTCTCATTCTAACTTTCAAATAATAAAGTAAATAGATCTTGCAAAAAAAAAAAAAGAAATCCTTGTCAAAGCCCATCTCAATAAACAAGCAATTATGCATTCTTAAAAAGAATTTTAAATGGAATGGGTCCCTACAGAATTATTTCATAATTCTAAATCTGAATGTTAAGATATCTAAATCTTATTCATAGCTGGTATTAACTTACAGCTTCAGTCCTTATACAGTCATGTAGACATGTAGACTTACAGACAAAGTAATAAAATCAGCTGTTTAAGATAAAATCACCAGGTATGAGAATGACTAAATAGACACTGCATTATGTGAAGAACACAGCCAACAGGTCTGTGACATCACCATCGAGTGCACTGCTTTGATCAGCCTGCTAATTCCAAGCCCCTTCTTGAGCCACACATGTTGTTCAGATTAGACACATCATCTACTCTCCCTACTTAGCTTCTCTGTATCTTTTCAAGTAAAACAAGAATACTGTGTGGTCCCTGCCTCATATTCTCTTGCAGGATTCTCTCTCACTCAGAAGATGAGCAGCAGAGGCTGGGAACTGACAGCATGGCCTCGAGGGACCTGGCCACAGCAATGGTCTTTCTAGTACAGACGCTGGCTGGGATTCTGGGGAATTCCTCTCTTCTTCTCCATTATCTCATCCTTTATTTCACAGGATGCAAGTTTAGGCTCACAGATCTGATTCTCAAACACCTGACTGTAGCCAATGCCTTGGTCATTCTCTCAAAAGGAGTCCCCCAAACCATGGCAGCTTTGGGGATGAAGCATTTCCTCGATGATACTGGGTGCAAACTTGTGTTCTATGTGCACAGAGTGAGCAGGGATGTGTCCATTGGCAGCACCTGCCTCCTGAGTGTCTTCCAGGCCATCACCATCAGTCCTACCTGCTCCAGGTGGATGGGGCTTAAAGTAAAAGCTCCCAAGTATGTTGCCTCCTCCACTATTCTCTGCTGGATTCTGAACATGATGCTTAATGTCATGGTACTTGTGCGTGTCACCGGCAAATGGCAAAACAATAATATCACAAGGATAAAGGATTATGACTACTGTTCTGCTATGCCTCATGGGAAAATCACTGACTCATTGTACATAGCACTGATGTTATTCCGTGATGTTGTGTTTGTAGGGCTCATGCTCTGGGCCAGCAGCTTCATGGTTTTCATCCTGTACAGGCACAAGCAGCAGGTGCAATACATACATGCTCTCTCCCACAGATCTTCGCCAGGATCCAGGGCCACACAAAGCATCCTTGTCTTGGTGAGCACCTTCGTACTGCTGTGCAGCCTGTCCTCCATTCTACAATTTTCTTTAGTGTTTTTCAGTATTCACAAAATGTGGCTGGTGAAAGCCTCCACACTGATAGCTGGGTGTTTCCCTGCCATCAGCCCCTACATTCTCATGAGTTATGACTCCAGGGTACCCACACACTGCCTTCCCTTGATCATAGCAGCAAAGTCCTCTGTGCTCTGAGAAGTAAACTCTATGGATATTTGAAGTGGCTGACTGCATACTTTTCAGTCCTCCTCAGACACAAAATTCATTTCAAGAAGGAGTCATCTTACAAGAACCTGGCCTATGATACAGTTGAGTTCTGCTTGAAAATAACAGTAAATTGAATAATTTTATTTTTATAGAATTCACATTTTATTCATTTTTAAAATTTAAGGTATACAAGCTTCATGCATTTCATCAATACAGATTTAGGAATATAGTAATTCTTCCCACCCTACCCTCCCTCTAACCCACATTCCCACCCTTCTTCCCCTCCTGCCTCTATTGAATAGCATTTTTAAAGAAAAATGTGAGATACTATCACAGTAATACCTATGTAAGTGAAATTCTATTAATGGTCACAATGGAGGAGCTAAGAGGTTATGTAGGGCTAAAACAATTGATCCATTGGTGACATGGAGCAATCCTTGGGAGTGTAACTTTCATCTGGCACAGTAAAATGTCCAGGCATGAAGTGGCTGTGGAAGGGCAGGGATGTTTGCATCAAATACGGACACAATTCGAGACATCATTCAAGATACTGAAGAAATAAGAGCTCTCCCATTGAATCATGAAGAGCATGGAGTTTAACTGGAGGGTAGTTCAGTTTCAGAGTATTAGTGTGTTGATATTCCTGGAGAAATAGTAGTCATTTGCATGTAGATAAATTCAGACTGAACTGGAATTGCTCATTTAAGTGGACGTTTTCACTGAGTTTCCAGAGTTCAAGGGAATGTTGCCTGTTGAAAACAGATATTCTGCAGAGTTGAAACAGCATTGGTTGGGGATCTGTACATCCATTGTTTCTGTGATGTGAAGATGCCAGTTGGGCAGAGTGGCAGGAAGGAGGTCTCATGGTGCCCTCTCCTGTCTCTCAAGTCAGGAAATAATCCTGTGGGGGAGTAAGTGAGGGAGGAACCTTTGGAAGTTGTAAGACATGAATCCATTTGGTTCCTGTAGCATTTTTGGCCTAAACATTTTCTTTTTTTTTTTTTTTTTTTTTTTACAGGAGAGTGGACAGTGAGAGAGAGAGAGAGAGAGAGAGAGAGAGAGAGAAAGGTCTTCCTTTTGCCATTGGTTCACCCTCCAATGGCCACCATGGCTGGCACGCTGTGGCTGGTGCACCACGCTGATATGAAGGCAGAAGCCAGGAGCCAGGTGCTTCTCCTGGTTTCCCACGGGGTGCAGGGCCCAAGCACTTGGGCCATCCTCCACAGCACTCCCAGGCCACAGCAGAGAGCTGGCCTGGAAGAGGGGCAACTGGGACAGAATTTGGTGTCCTGACCGGGATTAGATAGAAAAGTGGTTGATAGAAAAGTGTATACATTTGAGATTAGAGTCATTCATTTCTTATATACTCATGGGTTGCACATTTTCAATTTCCTAACTTTACCTTAATTTATTCCAAGTTAATTTAAATGTTTTTAATATTTTATGCCTTTTAATTATAGATTGTATAAATGATGGCAAATTACATGGTATATATAAGTATATATATATTTTTGTTTTTTCTATTTTAATCATTTTTAAAAACATATTTATTTATTTATTTGAAAGTCAGAGTTACATAGTGACCAGAAGGAGAGACAGAGTGAGAGGGCTTCAGCTGGTTCACCCTGTAGATGGCCATGATGGCTGGTACTGGGCCAGGTTTTTTAGCTATATATTTTGAAAATATTTCCCATTGAACATAATAAAATGTCTGACACTCACAGGACTCATCTATTTATAATTAATATCATGTCTATATTGATTATTAGATTTAGAAATTTATCGTGTTCTTTGCATTTTGCTTGTTATAAATTATTGATTTTTCTATCTCAACTTCATCTGTATTAATCTTTAAAGATTCAGTTATTTATTTGAAAGTCAGAGTTACACAGAGAGAGGAGAGGCAAAGAGAGAGAGAGAGAGAGAGAGGTCCTCCATCCACTGGCCACTCCACAGATGGCTGCCATGGCCAGAGCTGCAGCAACCTGAAGCCAGAAGCCAGGAGCTTCTTCCACATCTTCCACGTGGGTGCAAAGGCCCAAGAATTTGGGCCATCCTCCACTGCCTTCTCAGGCCACAATAGAGAGCTGGATTGGAAGTGGAGCATCCAGGACTCGAAACAGCACCCATATGGGATGCTGGCACTGCAGGTGGCGGTTTTACCCAATATGCCACAGCACTGGCCCCCTCCAACTCTATTTTCATCTCTATCTCCATCATCTCTATCTCTATCTCTGTCATCTCTATCTCTATCTCGGTATATCCCTTGTCTCTCCTTCAGTCTCTGTCACTCTCCCTTTCAAATGAATAAATCTTTTTTTTAAAATAATAATTATGAGGCATGAGCTGAGCCACTAGAGAAAGGTTGTAACCCTGTAGAGTCACTAATGGCCATTATGTATTGCAGGGTGAACCAAATGACACTGATTGTGGGTGTTTCATTCAAGTGATAATGAAACCTGATGTATAATGTGCTTGAGGACATTAGTACCAAAGTTGCTCTGTCCTCAGTCTCCTGTGAGAATCACAGAACATTTTCAGGATGACTGGAGGTACACTATGATGTCACAATGCTAGCCAGGGACAGGTGAATCCACAGAATGACCTGATGTGATGCTGTGCAGAGCTTGTGTGTCCAGCAGGCACCTATTGTGTAGAAATGCATCCTCCAATACTGGATTCTAGAACTGCTTAATTATTAGGAAAACTCCCATGGTCTCCTGATATCACAGAGACTGTTTTCCATGTTCAAGGTGGGGACTTAGCATGTAAGGAAGTTGTAATATTACACACTGAGCTTCAGACAGCAGCTGTCAGCCACAAGAAGTTCTTGTGATATATTCTCTGGCATAAACATATTTTCCTGTCAATCCCAAACTATTTAAATCACTTTTAAAACACAAAATTGAACACCTTATATACTATCTTTACCTTATGCCTTATATTTTACTGATTCACAAATCTTGCCTTAACCACAATACTTCTACTTGAGTCAAGTATTAATCAAATGTAAGTATATGATTTGAAAGACATAACATTGAGATTCTGTCCCACCATGTTTTGTCACATCCTGCTTAGAGCTGTGTATTTTAGGGCACAATATAATGTTCAGTGATTCCCATGATAGGTGCAATTTCAGTGTGGGTGCAAAAGCAGATTCTGGTCTGTTGCTGTTTCATGCAGAGGCAAATATAAGTTCTTTAAAATTCCTTTGGGGGTTGGCACTGTGGTGCAGTAGGTTAATCTTCTGCCTGTGGCACCAACATCCCATATGAGTGCCAGTTGCAATCCTGTCTGTCCCCCTTCTGATCCAGCTCTCTGCTATGGCCTGGAAAGCAGGAGAAAATGGCCCAAGTCTTTGGGTCCCTGCACCTGCATGGGAGACTCAGAAGCTCCTGGCTTCAGATCAGACCTGCTCTGGCTGTTGCGGTCATTTGGGGAGTGAACCAGTGGATGGAAGACCTTTCTCTGTTTCTCCCTCTCACTGGTTATAACTACCTCTCAATTAAATAAATGAAATCTTTAAAAAATAAATAGAAAAAAAACCAAATTGATTGTTTCCATGCAGTTTTTTTGAAATTCTCAGTTTAAATTGTGTTAAGATAACTATTCATAATCCATACATATCAAATCTTTACACACATATGGAAACTCAATCCAAACAAATTTAGAAACTAAAATATCAATGTAAAATGAAAACATAAGGCATGAACATAACAAAATAAATGCCAGCATCATTTTAAGAATATTCTGTAGCATAATCTGACCAGCCCTGACAGATTCAATTTCCACTTTTTTCAAGAAAGTGTGAAATAGAAAAATCAATTCAATACCTTAGTCTACCCAAGTGACTCCTTCCTTTACAGTGAAAATAGTCTACTTATCTCACAGAGGTTTTTATTAAGATTTTATTTATTTATTTGAGAGGCAGAGTTACAGAGGAAGAAATGGATAGAGGGGTCTTCCATCTGCTGGTTCACTCCAAATGACCGCATGGTGGAGCCAGGCCAATCCGAAGCCAGGAACCAGGAGCTTCTTCCAGGCCTCCCATGTGCATGTAGGGAATCAAGCACTTGGGTCAACTTCCACCACTTTCCAGGCCATATTCGAGATCTGGATTGGAAGTGGAATAGCCAGGACACGAACCCACACCCAAATGGGAATCTGGTGCCACAGGTGGAGCTTAGCCCACTGCACAACAGCGTCAGCTCCTGTCACAGAGTTTTAAAGGACTTAAGGCATAGTCATGTTCTGCTTTCATGTCAGTAATTCCTGTTCTGTGAATGCTCATTAAAGGGACACAGTCAACTTTGGGATGCCTGGGAACTAGAGAAGCATTGCAGTAAATGTATCTAAGTGGAGACTAAGGGGAAGATGCTGTATTTCAGTTCACGTGGCCCATGCAGCTCAGGCCTCTTCTTCCTCTGCAGGGCTCCCAGGCTCAGAAAACAAGCATCAGGCATCAGTAGCTGATAAGATGGTCACCATGGACGTGTCGATGGGCATAATCTACTTCTCAGAAACTCTCATAAGAATTCTGGGGAATTTCTCTCTTTGCCATTATCCCTATCTCTATGTCACAGGGTGCAAGTTTAGGTCCATAGACTCGATTCTCAAGAACCTGACTGTAGCCAGGTGCTTAGTCATTGCCCCTGGAAGAGTCCCCCAACATTGGCTCCTTACAGGCTTAAAACTTTGGAACACAGAGTGTCGGAGGATTGTTCACTGGCATCTCCTGCCACCTGATCATCTTCTAGACCATCAGAATCAGTCCAAGCAACTCCAGGTGATGAGAATGTGAAAACTCCCAAGTACATGGGCACCATGAATGCCATCTGCTTTTCCAGAACGTGATGCCAGTGTTTGACATCTGTGTATGTGACTGGCAATCTGAGTAACAAAATATCACAAGTAACATTGGTTATGTCTACTATCCTGCTGGACTTCACACACCCATAGTAGGCAGCAATCATATTCTTCTCTCATTGTTGTGTTTGGAGTTCTTGCTCTGGGCCAACAGCTCCATGGTTTTCACTCTGTATGGGCATTTAATGTACATCCAAATTTGGTCAGTCCAGCAGTACATGAAAAAAACAACATGCAAGATGGATTAAGA